CGGCAACCACAGCCTTGGTGGCGGCTGCTTCACCTGGTTCTTCTCAGCAGCCGACGTCCGCTTCTCAATCTCCTGTTTCACCCAGTCGTGGCCGTGGAAGGGGTCGCAGCTTCCAGAATTGAAGAGGCCGAGGTCGCGGGCGTGGTCGCAATCAATATTTTGGTCAGTCTTCTTCTCCGTTTTATCACTCTTATTCTTCTTATCCGGCTCCCATGTTTACTCCCAGGCAGCGCGCTCCCTCTCTTCTTGGACCGCCTCCTTCTTCCTCGTCCAATTCGGGTCCTGTTCGATGTTAATTGTGCCACCAGTTTAATCATTCTGCCCGGGATTGCTATCAATTTCAACAGCCCGCCTATTTTGTTGATCAACATAATCGGCTTTCTGTCCATCCGTCTGTTGATTCTTCTTGGTATATGGACACGGCTTGTGGTAATACTATGACTCCCAATCAAGGTACTCTTACTAATTCCAAACGCTATCTTGGTTCTACTCGAGTTGTGATTGGTAATGGTTCAAATTTACCTATTAAATCTTTTGGTACACTTCCTTGTTCTCATTTCGCTTTCCTAGGATTTATTATGTACCTTCACTTACCAAAAATCTTGTTTCTGTGCGTCAATTTGCAACTGAAAATCAATGTTCTATTGAGTTTGATCCCTTTGGTTTTTCTGTGAAGGATCTTTGGACGAGGAACCCTCGTCTACGTTGCAATAGTGTTGGTCCCCTTTACACTTTCCCATCCACCCTTTTGGCTCAATCTCGCGCACCGTCTTCTTCATCATGTCCGGCGTTCGCTACTTCCGTCTCTTCTCATGTCTGGTATCAACGCCTTGGTCACCCCAATTCCTCTGTTTTATCTACATTAGTGTCACATCGCCGCCTTCCTGGTTCGGTGGTTTCCTCAAATAAGTTTAGTCTTTGTCAGGCTTGTCAAATTGGTAAGTATCATAAGCTCCCTTTTATGCCTTCTACTTCGGTTACTTTCAAAGCTTTTGATTTAATCCATACCGATGTTTGGACTTCTCCTTGTCTTTCATTTAGTGGTTTCAAGTATTTTGTCCTTTTTCTTGATGATTTTACTGATTATTTATGGGTGTATCCACTTAAACACAAATCTGAGGTGCCTCACAAATTTATTAACTTCTATACTCTTGTCCAAACTCAATTCAATACTTCTATAAAAACTCTTCAATCTAATGGTGCTGCTGAATATGTTCACTCTCATTTTTTTCAATCTTTTCTCAACTCTAAGGGTATTGCCATGCGCATTTCTTGCCCATACACTCCTCAACAAAACGGCAAAGCTAAGCGCACGAATAAGACTGTCCTCAATATGGTCTGCACCCTCCTCAATCAAGCTCACTTGCCACCTGAATTCTGGGTAGAGGCCTTAAATACTAGTGTTTATCTGATAAACCGTTTACCTACCAAATCCAAGAACAATTCTGTTCCCTTCTCCCTTCTTTTTGGTACTCTACCTAATTATGGTGTCTTGGGGGTCTTTGGATGTTCTTGCGGGTATCTCATTTAGCTACTCTACCTCGGTCCACTCCATGTATCTTTCTCGGTTATCCCGAGTCTTATAAAGGTTACCGTTGTTTTGATCCTGCTTCCAAGAAAATTTACACTTCCCGTCATGTTGTTTTCGATGAAACCTCTTTCCCGTTTCCTCAACTATCTTTGGTTCCACCACTCTCTACTCCCAACTCCCGTTTTAAACATCCTTCGTTTCTCATTCCACGGTCCATTCCCACTTCCGTGATACCTTCACCTCCTCAACAAAAAGTGTCAACTGTTCCTTCTGTACATTCAGACCCTACACCTTCTACTTCCTTGTCAACTCATTTGGGTCCTCCTTCTTCAAACCCTCCCACTCAGGATAGCACCCGTAAACCTAAACAGATCCTCTCTCTTACTACTACTACTACAATATCTTCACTTCCCCATGAACCAAAATCTTTCACTGAGGCCAATAAATACCCTGAATGGTGAGCTACTATGACTGATGAATATAATGCTCTCCTCACTAACCATACATGGGATTTGGTCCCTCCTCCTATTTCTGCTAACATTATTGGCTCAAAATAGATTTTTCGAGTTAAGCTCAAATCTGATGGTTCACTTGATCGATGTAAAGCACGTTTGGTCGCTCAAGGTTACAATCAAAAGCCTGGTATTGATTATGATCAAACGTTCAGTCCGGTGGTTAAACCAGTGACAATTCGGATTGTATTAAGCATTGCTGCTTCTCGCAAATGGCCCGTCAATTAGTTGGATGTTAAAAACACATTTTTGCATGGTCATCTCAATGAAATTGTCTACATGAAACAACCTACTGGCTTTGTTCATCCAGATCATCCTCACTATGTCTGTCGATTGAACAAAGCTCTTTATGGCTTAAAGCAGGCTCCCCGAGCTTGGTTTCACAGATTCACTGCTTTTCTGTTTTCTCAAGGTTTTACAGCCAGTCGCTCAGACTTTTCTATGTTTGTGTATTCTGCTAGATCAGACATGGCGGTTTTGTTACTTTATGTTGATGACATTCTCTTGACAGCATCTAGTAATCGTCTGCTCACCACTATTATTCAGTCGTTGAAGGGTGCTTTTGCTATGACTGATCTTGGTCCAATCAGCTATTTTCTCGATGTTTCTGTTGCTCCTCACTCTGGTGGTTGGTTTTTACACCAACGTAAGTATACTGAGGAATTGTTGGCTCGTAGTCATCTCACTGATGCCAATCCTGTTGCAACTCCCCTTGCTCCCGCTTTTCAGTTTTCTGTTGATGAGTCTCCGCCTTTTCACAATCCAACTCTCTATCGGAGCTTGGTGGGTGCCTTAAAGTATCTTACCTTCACCAGACCGGACCTTCAATATGCGGTCAACCTTGTCTGTTAGCATATGCATGATCTCCGGGAACAGCATTTTCAAGCTGTCAAACGTATTCTAAGATATATTAAAGGCACACTTCATTATGGCATTCATCTCCGCGCTGGTCCTCTTGATCGCCTGGTTACTTATTCTGATGCTGATTGGGCCGGGTGTCCCACTACTTGCCGTTCCACCACTGGTTTTTGTGTCTTCTTAGACTCCTCTCTCATTTCCTGGTCCTCCAAGAAACAATCTACAGTTTCCAGATCTTCTGCTAAGTCTGAATATCGCGCGGTTGCTTCTGCTTTGGCTGAAACGGTTTGGTTAGAGAATCTTCTGTCAGAACTTCATATTAAGCTTCCTCAGCGCCTAGTGATCTTGTGTGACAATGTCTCTGCTACATACCTAGCTGCCAATCCTGTTAATCATGCTCGAACCAAACATATTGGTCTAGACATTCATTTTGTTCGTGAACGTGTCGCTGCTGGTCTTCTTCGAGTTCTTCATATCTCCACCCAGTCTCAACTAGCAGATGTGTTCACCAAATTCTTACCTAAGGATAAATTTTATTCGTTTAGAACCAATCTGTGCATGATTTCCTCTCCTGCTCCGATTGCGGGGGGATGATAGAATATATAAATACGGAAATCCTAATTAGGGTTTCCGATAATCACAGCTAGGGTTATTGTAATCTTGTACTATATATATATATATGATGTTGTACATATGTAATAACACACGAAAAATATTCTTTCAATAATAAACACTGAAGGGATTTCATATTCACTCTTGCAAATGAAATAGAACTGTCATCGACATATAGGATGCAAGCAAAGAAAATATATCACATTTTCCAGAACTTCAGTTCATCTCAGAGAATTCTTTTTTGTTTTCTTGTGAATGTAGAAAGGGGTTTCAAAATCCGATTTAAACAATAACATTGAAAAATATGTCTACAGATGATGAGATAAGTGTCAAGATACTTGATGTAGGCACTTGGAAACCAACTTATGACCCACGAGAAAGTGACAATACCTTTCAGGGGATGCAATTCTTTCATGTTTCGAATGAGAATGGGCAAGAAGTTGCAGCCTTTGATGAGTTGATCCATTGCCAGGGCTTGCAGTGAAAGTTGAGGAGCCGAATTCTAGTGTGTCTTCTGGGGATGTCATCCTTTTACACTCACACAAAGCGAGTGCTCGAGGAGTTTGACCATTCAAAGCAAGTAACTCAATTCTGTATGAAAGACATCAAGCCCGCTAAATTTCTAATGAAGGTAGCATGCTAAATATTATCGAAATATGCAATAAGGAAGACATATAAACTATCATGATTTGACTCTAATATTCACAACCGAGCAGCACAGACTACAGCATTGAAATCGCCAAAAAGCAGTTTAAATGTTTCTTCTCTTACAACAGAGTCTCATTTTGACAGGTAAAATAAGATATAAAGATATCAAAAACTATAGGAATTTTGGCTGTGTAAGAAATAGATTTGCCACTGGTAATCAAAAACACACTGAATTTATGTTCTTTACTCAGAGAAAAGTTTAACCCAAAAGGGATAGAATGCTACCTAAATGGACCTTAAGACAACTAATGTCATTCAACTACTAAACCAAAATACAATGTATAGATTGATCACTAATTAGGGAATAAGACCTATCCCTATGTAGGATAACAATGAAGTTAATAAAATACAAAATTTACAAATAAATGATCCCCAAATCTGAAGATGTGACATCAAAATATGGAAGTCATCAAAGAAAAGTTAAATTCTACACACTGAAATTTCAAATTGTCATTTTATGTGCTTTTCTTGTTTCATTTACATATAACGGAGTCAATCAAAGTTCTAATCTTTTGAGGTCATCAAATAAAAGTTAAATTCCACGCACTCAAATTTCATATTACCATTTTATATGTTTTTCTTGTTTCATTTATATATAACGAAGTCAATCATAGTTCTAATCTAAACGTTTAACACTCAGATAAAGAGGCACACACACAAAAAAAAAACAAACACTTTTAAGTGCACATCAAACACCCAAACGGGAAAGTCGGCGGATTTGGAAATTTCTTTAATGTCACACGATAGAAGACGCTTCACCACAGAGGAGTGGTTTTTTTTTTTCGGAAACAGATGGAGGGGAAGCTCAGCAAGATTTCAGAGAAGGGAAAACATACGAGACAACACGTGCGGGGCTAACTATGATTGATGTTTTGGTTAACCTTCAAGCCAAGTTTCTTCTACTCAATTGTCACCAAATTTCAAGCAGCTGCTATATATGAAGCCTGCCCTTGTATAATTTCAAGTTAATATAGCAGCAATATCAGAGGAGAATGAAATTTTAATAAACATGATACAAGGAGGGACTATCACTATTGTTTTTGGATAGCCAAAATTAATTCATGATGGAACATCCTTGCGCTTAACCAAAGCAAACTGATGGGTCGCTTTTCCAGGACGGGCAAAATCTTTAGTGTTCATGAAACTCTCAAGCTTGTGAGGGAACTTGTCGAAGATTTGCTCAGTGAGCTTTGGACCAAAGTGTTCACAGACAGTGCCTTGTAGAATTGCTCTAAAATGCGCACTCAGAAACTGCGCATCAAGACGGCCGATTGGCGCATCTATTTCTTGCAGCCGTTCAATGGTTAGATACTGCTTAAATGAATCCAACACTTGTTCAACTTCAGATAGAGCCGGAAAGAAGACTGGAAGATTGAACGAATCCACAACATCTTCACCCATCACGCCCTGGAAGCAGCATATTTCAGCCAATTTTATTGCAGCAGTCTTAAATTACTAACTGAAATTGGCGAATGTTGAAGAACAACTAGAGTACTTGAAATAATTACCTCTTTTACCAGGTCAGAAGCTGCATCACCTAAGCACTCCATGGTATGAATATGAATCGCCTCAGGAGGCGATGTGCCCTCAGGCCTGCCCAACATTATCATTGCCAATAATCCACCAGGGACTAGTTCCTCTGACCTGGCTTTCAGGAAATCTTTCAAGTCCCTGAAAAATTGATCCCTGAAAGCATTAACCACCTGAGTTGGGCTCTTGGCGTATGTGATTCTTCCCTTGTTCCAGTAAGGGGAGTCCTTGTTCATAACTCCCTCGGGAACCCTTTGTAGCCAATGAAGCGAAATGGATGAATGGATCAAATTCATGGATGATCTCGGGAAAAGCCGACGGTAGAAAGATCCCGGAACCCCAGCTGCCATGTATTGCCTCTTTGAAGGAAGTGATTTGAATAGGGTATTGAAATCATTGCCGACTTGATCGTTGAAGAAGACATGGAACTCAGGTTCATCATCAGGGCACAGAGTATTATCATACTTTTGTTGGACTGCTTCTATCATATGATTCACGCAAAAAAATGTATTTGGTCCTGTAGAGCAGCCAAGGTCTGCTATGGAGAAAATCTTTGTTCGATTTTTCAGATCAAGTGACTCTTCAATGCTGTTCATCAGGAGGATCATAGCACCATCCAGAAATATTTTCTGGTGATAGACATAGAATATCTGAGCTATATATACTATCATTGGATCATTCATCATTAATCAAAAATTATAGAATCTATCATTCAGGAAAATTGCAGGCAAATACACGTAGAAAACGAAACAAACAATTATAATATTCCATGATATACCTGGAGCTTGGAATTTCTGAAGTAACTTTTGGGACCTTCTCCACCATTCATAACAATCGACCCTTCCATCCCCTTCTTCTTGTGCTGCTGCTACTCAAATTAGTATGTATAGTTGCAAGTTTTGGGTAAATATACCTTAAAATTATGAGAGACAAAGTGTATCACACAGTAAACAAGATGTCCATTGCTCTGATTGGTTTGCCTGGCCAAGTTTTAACATTATCCCAATTTCATCAGCAGAAGCAAAATTTAATATGTTTATTTCAAAATTGAGAATCCTTTTTCTTTTTCTTTTTTTTTTCCCGGTTTTGTTGTCTCATTGAATACATAAAACAATTGTAGAAAGGCCAGACTTTCAAGAATCTTTAGGTGGAATATATCCCACAGAACAGAACTAAAGACAAAACCTACCTCACCGAACCACCCATTTGTATCATTATATTCAGAAAACGAGAAGGTTATACAAATGAATTTAGTTATACAAATGAATTTAATTATATCATTTAACGGATTTGTTTACATTAAAAGACAACGCTTTTAAATATAACACTTAGTATAATGAATTATAAGTCTAATATACCGTGACGGGTTTTAAGATTGTCACATTGCGAACTTGATGTAATACACCCAATTCTTTACATGGACTATGATTATCATAATTCAACTAAAAACTATATACAATCCAAATTCATTAAATGTTTATTTACTTACTTTTCTTTTGTAGAAATCATCAGGTTTAACATTTTTTTATTCTATTTAAAGCCAAAAAAGGGGTTAGTTTTACATAATTAGACTAAAAATTAAACGCTAACCTTAAATTATGTTTTTAAAAAAATCAAATGTTGAAATTTATATTGTGAAAATTGTTGACACCAAATTTTCCGCTTAGAAAATCTGACAAACTAATCGACGAAACAAAATAATAATTTTTTTTTTCTCATAGTTACACAATTAAAAATCTGTGAATAAATTGAAACATTATAGTTGAGAAAGTAAAAGATGTAATAAATTTTGCTAATAAAAAAATATAAACAGACGACAAAGTCGTCGAAAGAGGATGTTTGACGCTGTCTTTTGCAACCACGACATTTTTGAACCTTTTAAAATAAAGAAAAATATAAGTATTAACCCATCGTCGACTAAGTCGTCGAGATATCAAAACAGACGGAAACGTCGGCGGCTTTGAAAATTTCCCAAATGTGGCTATTGTCCGCCAACTCACAGGATGAAAGACTTCACCACAGTGGAGTAGTTTTCTTTGGAAAAATATAGAGAGGAAACTCATCAATATTTCAGAGAAGCGAAAATATACGAGATCACAACAAAATATGATTGATGTTTTGGTTATATTTGAAGCCAAGTTTCTTCTATTCAATTGTCATCAAATTTGAAGCAGTTGCTATATGAAGCCATTAATGTGTCATTTCAAGTGAATATAGCAATCTCAGAGTAGAATGAAACCCACACACCGGAAGCTTTTAATAAACATGACACAAGGAGAATCTACAACTATTATTTATATGGTTCCAAAGCTTTTGGATTTGCCAGTTGCCACCCTATTCATAATGGATATTGCCAGTTACCATCCATCCTTGCGCTTAACCAAAACAAAGTGACGGGCAGTTTTCTCAACACCAGTAAAATCTAGTCTCTTTAAGCTCTCCAGCTTGTGAGGGAAGTTGTCGAAGATTTCATCGGTGAGCTTTGGACCAAAGTGTTCACAGAAAATGCCTTCCAGAGCTGCGCACTCAAAATCCAAACGTCAAGACAGGCTGGCAACTGTATTTCTTGCATCCGTTCAATGGTCAGATAGTGTCAAATGAATCCAACACTTGCTGAACTTCAGATCGACTCGGAAAGAAGACAGCAACATTGAATGAATCCACATCATCTTCTTCTATCACGCCCTGGAGCAGCACTCTTAAAATTACAAAATTTTTTAAAAAATGAATGAATGAAATTCTGAAGAACAACTAGAGGAGTAGCAATTAATGAGTACCTGTTTGACCAGATCAGAAGCTGCATCACCTAAGCATTACATGGTACGAATAGGATTTGCCTCGGGAGGCGATGTACCTTCGGGCCTGCCAACCATTAAGATTGCCAATAATCCACCAGGGACTAGTTCCTCTGACCTGGCTTTCAGGAAATCTTTCAAGTCTCCGAAAAAATTGATCTCTAAAAGCAATAACTACCTGAGTTTGGCTCTTGGCATATGTGATTCTTCCCTTGTTCCAGGAAGGGGAGTCCTTGTTCATAACTCCCTCAGGGACCCTTTGTAGAAAATGAAGCGATGTAGCTGAATGGATCAAATTCATGGATGATCTCGGGAAAAGCCGACCGTAGAATGATCCCGGAACTCCAGCTGCCGCCATGTATTGCCTATATGAAGGAAGTGCTTTGAACAAGGTATTGAAATCATTACCGACTTGATCATTGAAGAAGACATGGAACTCAGGGATATGATCAGGGGCCAGGGTATTATTATACTTTTGTTGGACTACTTGAATCAAGGTATCCACACAAGAAAACGTATTGGGACCTGTAGAGCAGCCAAGATCTGCTATGGAGAAAACCTTTCGTGGATTTTTCAAATCAAGTGACTCCTGAATGCTGTTCATCAGGAGGACCTTAGCAGCATCCGAAAATTTCCCCTGTGATGGAATACAATTTCTGAGCTATACAATGTGTCATTGGATCATAACTCATTCAAACAGAAAGAAGAATGACATTCAAGAATTAAAGCAGACAAATCATATTCCATAAATATACCTGGAGCTTGGAGTTTCTGAAGTAGCTGTTGGGACCTTCTCCAGCATTCATAACAACAGACCCCTCCATATCATCCCTTACAGCGCTGCTAATTAATCAAGTTTTGTGTGTACATATTAAATTATAAATACTACGTTTTGTCACAGAGTAATCAAGAAGATGTCCATTGCTCTGATTGGTTTGCCTGGGCGACTATTTCATCAGCAGAAACAGATTTTCTTTTCTTGTTTTTTTTTTTTTTTTCTGTGTCTTTCTTTAATGTATTATACATGTAAAAGAAAAGTAGAAGGCCTGAATGTCAAACTTTTCGAGGTGGAATATATCCCACAGATTGAGAAAAGGCACCTTTTGGTTTAAAAAAGTAGCAGTCATTTTCTTATGACAGTCATTTTCATTTAGAAGTAGGAGTAGTTTCTTTGAAGAAGTTTATAAATTTGGTGATTCGAAATGGTAGCTTCGCAGTTTCGCATGTCAAAAACAGGACGACTCATTGGCAGCTGATTATTTGGCTTCATGGGCAGCTCAAGTTGCAGGTGATTTGATTTGCATCGGTTAGAAGCTCCATCACCAGGGTTAAACTATGGATGGAGTAAATCAAAGGGGTTGTGATGGAGTGGTAAAGACTCTTCCACGTTTAATCATAGGTAGATGATTTGAACTTCATCATGTGCATGGAGTAATCTTTAATCCTTTGGCCAGCTCTCCGACCTATCGAGGTGCCTATCATGAGCGAGAGGATTAGTCACTCTTACGGACCGTGGACACCTTGTAAATATAAAAATAAAATTAAAAAAAAAAACTATGGATGGAGTATATAATAATCTATATCTATATCTATACCATACTAGTGATGTCTGGTCGCGCAATGCGCGACCCTGGCCCAGTCTATCTGTAGATCTTAGAAATATTTATATTTGAAAAAAAATAAAATTTTGTATTTGTAGCGATATATTTTAGAAATGTTTGAAGGATTTAGAAATGTTTTATAAGTGTGATCATAGAAATATTTGTATTTCACACAAAAAAAAAAAGAAATTGTATTTCGCCATGTATGTTTTAGAAATATTTTATAAGTGTTACTTATTAAATATAAATAGCCTTAATCGAATAAATGTGTTGAAGTAAATGTTAGATAAAATATAAAAGCATCCTAATAAATTTAAATATTAGTAAGATGATTTATTGATGTTTTCCATTGGTCGTGCCAAATCAATACTTAGTTTTGGTAATTTTTAATAGTTTTGTAATAAGCTTCATCCGAAGGGCACTTAAAACAAAGTTGGCACTTTGTAACAAAAACCTAATTGATCAATTCAATTTAAAAAACCACTCTAGTTGAATGAAACATAAAGAGAAAATAAAAAATAAAAAAAACGTGTCACGTAAAGTGCAAAGGAAAATTTAGTAATTTAGTTATGGTTAGACAAAAGAGGGCAATTTAGTACTTTCCACATGCCACGTGGCAATCATATGAGGTGTTTGAAAGGGAGGTTTTTATTTCTAATATAGTAGGATATATAAAAAGGCTCGACCTGCCGAAATGAGCCTGTTCACGCCCGGTTCACCGTCCAATAATGCTGACGTGTCGAACCATTATTGTTCTTGTCTCCACGCAAACTGGGAACTTCCGGTTCGCTCTCCTTCAGTCGCTTCGCCCGTGGTCGTTCACCAGCACCACCGCAAGACTCAGTGCACGATTTCATCATATGATGCCAGCGGCGGAAGTTTGTTCCACCAATCAATTATGAAGGGCGTTTTAAAAGCAGAAAATTGCTTCCTCAACATTGATCGTTTTCGAAATCGAATGGATTTTGTCCATATGAAGCCCTGTTCTTATCCTTACCACAACAAAACCACCACCGGCGACGGTTCTGTCTTAACGGACGACTTTCGGGTTGTTCTTGTGGTGGTAGAGTCATACAGAATTTGGGCAGATCCATGGCTGATTTCAAACAAGGAGGCAGCAAAAACACTGGCACGGTTGGTTTTTGGGTAAAATCATTAGCCTCTTACTTTTGATTCATAGGATTTTGAAATGAAAATGTAAATTGGACATTGCAACTTCAGTTAAAATTGTGTGTGAATCTATTGGTTGCTTGATAACTATTTAGAGGTCATGACTAATCTTTAGACATTGGTAATCTTTTGGCTAATCTTTTACATTTTGGACTGACGATTGTTTTCATCTCTCATAGATAATATGGTCTCATTCCGTGATTCGGGTTCCAATGGAAACTGAAGAGATTTGGTTGTATGTAACCTGTTTGAATATATGCATCTGTCAAAATTCAAACCATGGATGCACAATTTCTAGGGTATATTTATTTCTTTCCATTCTCATTAGACTAATTAAACATTGGTTTCAGTGCACCCGTAGGTTTTCCATAGAAATAGGACACCGTTGCTATGTTATTGTGGCCGATTTTTAAATTTTATAAGTTATCATCGTTGTTGATTTCATAGACAGTTTTGTACTTCCAAATTATGGTGTTCAGCTCTGTAATGGAGTTCTCCCCCTTTTTATCTTGGCGAATTTGTATCCTGCAATCATCTGATTTTCATTGTATTTGGCTGCATTATTTTTCAGGATTTCTCTGATATAATACCGAAGGACACTCTCCTCTGGAAGTTGAAGCTTCTCAAATGTGCTGCTGCTTATGCTAATTCCTGTCTATATATGGTAACTGCTGAAGTGCTTTTGCTTGCAAGGTGATTTTCTCGCTTAATTTCGCCTTACATGCATTGTTGGAGAAGCTTGACAGCAAACGGAAACTGGTCCAAAACCACATAGTCATGCTATGAAGTTGAAGGTGGTCTAATGATTATGAACTACAGGCCTTCTCAATTACACACCCTTTTTCCTCAAAATAAAAATAAAAAATAAAAAAAAACAGCTATCTCCTTCCAGACTCATTCTCTTTAAGCAAAGTGAATTTCCGCAAGCCTGTATCTACCAGAATATTTCAATTGATGCACCAATCATTTATCAGTAGATTTTAGACAGTTATGTATGAATTGAATTACATGTTGTGTTAACATTAGACTATCACGTAATTAAACATAATTGATCTTGTGTTAATGGTGGATACTCCCTTCCCCTTTATGTCTCCGGGTCAGACCGCACCCCTAGTATTGGGTAACATGTCTCGTAATATACTACTTGTGTAATTTCTAGACCCTTGCCTCATTATTAAAAACAAAAAAAAAACAATAAATTAGTTTGAACCGTTCTGTTTTATCTTTCCCCACACTTCTTTAGAGTCAAACTCATGGTTCTCGTGTTTGCGGACTAATCATCTAAGAAATTATATTCTATTTTTTTGGCATTCTAATATCAACAAACTCGGTTGACGATGATTGATAAAATTTTTTAGTACTCTTTTTATCTCAGACCAAACAATCCGTTTCAAGACAGAAATAATACATGCATTTTTTATTATTCCTCAACTTGTATGTTGCGCAATCAAATCAAAACAATTTAGATACATATAATAATATATATTAGTGAAAGTAAAAGGAACACATAAATAAAATATTTTCCGTGTAATATTTTCTAGTTCGTTGTGACATCCAAAGCCATTTTGATATCACTATTTCAGTGACCCATGGACTTATCCTTGAGCTTTAAGTAAGAGAAACAAGTTTACAACATCAGTACTACTATATTGGGTAGCCGCGACTGACAAACCTTGAAGTTTCTGAGGTAACCTGTTGAAGATTTCATCTGTGAGCTTTGGACCAAATGTTCAGAAACAATAATTTCAAATACTGCTCTACAATGTGCACTTGTGATTTGCATGTCAGGACAGAGCAGCTGAGAATGTATTTCTTGAAACTGTTCAATGGTCAGATCCTGATCAAATGAATCCAACACTTGTTGAATCTCAGATAGAGTGGGATAAAAGAGAGAGGCAGATTGAACGAATCCGCGAGATCTTTGCCTATTGTGCCCTGAGAGAGAAACCAGAATAACATGATGATGACACCAGAAGAACATGTTGATATAGAGAGTAGTATATATTCATTACCTCTTTTGCTAGATCAGAAATTGCATCACCTATGCACTCAATGGCAATAATGGAAGTCGCCTGGGAAGGCGATGTACCTTCGGGTCTGCCAAACAATAGAACCGCCAATAATCCACCAGGGACTAGTTCCTCCGACCTTGCTTTCAGAAAAACCCCAAGTCCCTGAAAAATCGATCTCTGAAAGCATTACACACCTGAGTTGGGCTCTTGGCATATGTGATTCTTCCCTTGTTCCAGGAGGGAGAGTGTAATATCAGAGTTGAAAAGAACTAATATAATGCAAACAGTTCACCTTCTCAGTAACAAGGATCTATGCCTTATATGTTCTACATCTGGACCCTCTCCCCAATCAGAGTGGCAATTACAGGCAGTGAATGATCTCTTACTTGTCAGTGTTGCTCAGCGTATGCAATTGTCACATTGCTTATTTCTAAAGCCCTTGGTGTCAGCCTGGCTATAATTGGTGTCAGCAGCTATGGTGTATCCCACTTGTTGATGAGATTTCCAACACCACTTGGATACAAATAGAGATAAAATTGCCCATTCTTGTGGAAAAATACTGAAGACTTCTCAAGAAATTATCTTTGTCGAGAACATCATTCATGGACATCTGAGATCCTACTTGCCATGATGTATCAGCGAACCCACAAGCATTACATATTCTGCAACATTTGGACAAAAAATAACAGACCACATTGCTCATGGATTTTATTGACAACCTATCAGCTGCTGATTGATGTTAACACCTTCCAATTTGATGAGGGAAAATTTATCATACATTTTGCCATTAGGCTTGCAAAAACTGATAGGTTACCAAGTTTTTGACATGGTACATGCCATGCATCTCTCTGTTTCTTGAACCTTTGCTTCCAAACCTCGAAATTGCTTACCTTCTGTTTCTTGAATAGTTGCTTCCAAACCTCCAAATTCTTTAGTTTAAACTTTTACGTTGGAGTAGGTTCCAGCTTATTGAGCTCGGTATGGGACCTTTTAGGCTCCAAGTTGTCTACCATAATGAATGTTGATCCCACAAGAAGAGCAAAAACTTCATTAAGAATTGCAGTGAACCTCTTTTGCTAGATAAGCTAGTGCATAACCTAAGCATTCGAAGAAATCTTATAAATCACCTCGGAAGGCAATGTCCCCTCGGGCCTGCCCAACGTCTGATTCACCAATAATCCTCTTGGAACAAGTTCTTGTGACCTTGCATTCATGAAATCTTTCAAGTCAGTGCAAAATTATATCTCTAAAAGCATTACCCACCTGAGGGAACTCTTTGCATACGTGATCCTCCCTTTATTCCATGATGAGGGAGAGTCCTTATTTGTGATCTCCTCAGGGACACTTCGGAGCCAGGGAAGCGATGTAGATGAATGGATCGAGTTTACTAATGATTTTTGCAAAGGTCAACCATAGAAAGAGCCTGGAACTCAAGCTGCCAAGTATTGCCTTCCTAGAGGAAGTGATTTAGATAGAGTATTTAAATCATCGCCAGCTTGATTATTGAAGAAGACAGAATTCGGGAGTTTTGACTTCTTCATCATCAGGAAACAGTTCTATTCTTGTGTGGACTGCTTCTCTCATGGTACTCAGGCAATAAAATGTCTTAGGACCTGTCGAACATCCAAGGTCTGCTGTTTAGAAAATCTTTGAATGCTTTTCAAATTCCAGTGACTCTTCAATGCTGTTCATCTGGATCTTAGCGCCATCCGAAATTTCTCCTGTGATGAACAGATTAGCATTATCATTTGATTTTATACATGCCAAGACATGATGTCCAAGAAGTGCAAGTTTTGGCTGCACACATAGGAAAGTAAAACAGTACCTGGAGCTTGGAATTTCTGGTGTAGCTACTGGGACATTCTCCACCATTCATTACAATTCAGCTTTCTATCCCTTCTTCTTCTGCTTCTCAAAATGTTATTCCCTTTCTTCCCTAATTCCAAGTTTTATGTCTGACTAAATATGTACTTCCAAACAACCAAATTTCGACGACACCTCTTATAAGGCAGAAATGAGACCAAGTTACCAACTAAGCATTCTGCTGAAATTGGTTTGGTTGCCACAAAATCCAACCGTGGGGGGCAAGGATGTTGAGCACCAAATCGCATCGACAAGCAATGATACCCATGCTTTATAATTAATTTCAGAGGCCGAATGCATTGCTTTTAGTTTTTGTAGGGGTGGCTAAGAAACCTAACACTTTTAGATTTAAGAGCTGACAATACTCGTCACTAGCTAAAGGCCTGTATTACTTTGAAACTAGTAATAGAGTAGAGTACCTGTTCTACCAGATCAGCTAGTCCATCACCTAAGCATTCAATGCCATGAACAGCATAAGAATTGCCAATATTCCACCAGGGAAGTTCCTGTGGCCTGGCTTTCATGAAAATTTTCAATTCATTGAAAAATTGACCTCTGAAAGCATTAACCACTTGAATAGAACTCTCCGCTCATGTGTTTCGGCCCTTGTTCCATGAGGAAAGGTGCTTCTTCATAACCGCCTCGGGGACCCTTTGGAGCCAATGAAGCCATGTGGATGAGAGGAACAAGTTGAGAATCTTCGGAGAAGTCGACCATAGATAGAGCCTGGAAATCCAGGTTTGCCTTTCCTAAGAAAAAGAAAAACTCATTTTGTCCAGAGAGCACCATTCATGGACAGCAAATCTATTCTATGCATCATACTTCAGTGCATCGTCAGCATATTAACAGATGAGTACTTTTTTGATCTTTACACAGACTGCAACAAATCTTTCAAGTGTCAAGACTGCATTGCTCATAGATTTTATTGACAACCTACCAGCTGCTCATTGGTGTTAACACCAGCCAATTGACGAGGGGGAAGCAGCAGACATTTTGGCATCGGGATTTCCAAATTTAATGTGCTTTCTGAATTTATTATGTTGTTCATGTCAGGCCCTACCTTCTGTTTCTTGAATGTTTGCTCCCAAACTTTGAAATTATTTACCCTCTCCTTCTGTTTCCTAAATGGTTGCTTCCGAACCTTTAAATTCTTCACCCCCTCCTTCTGTTTCTCGAATGGTTGCTTCCGAACCTTTAAATTCTTCGCCCGCTCCTTCTGTTTCTTGAATGATTGCTTCTGAACCTCGAAATTCTTAAGCCTCTCTTGTTTTTGGAATTTTTGCTTCTGCACCTCGACTTTCTTATCCTTCTTTAAATGTTTCCATGGATCAACAGGAAGTTCAGAGCAGTTTTGTTCCCTGTAAGCTTTCTTAATTCTCAAATCAGCTACCAGTGCCACATGGTCAGATGACCATTGAGACGTGGGAAGAATCCTTTTCTTACCTATCCTTTCATAGAGAGGAATTTCAAACACTCCATCTACTTTCAACTTATTTTGAGGATACAAAATGTAGTCCAATGTCTCATTGTCATGTGCATTTGATTCTGCCGAATATACACTGGCCAGATTCATGGGATGCTTCAATTTAAGATATTTGGACATACCTAATACGTCTCTCTTTTCATGTTTCAAATAATCAACCTTCCCGTTTACAAGAAAATTGTAGGTATCACTTCCTCGAGGAGAATTCATGTCACCACAAACTAAAACAGGAATCCCCAAAGAATCAATTTTTTCCAGTCCCCTGATGAGATTAACCACTTGAAACAACCTAACATCAGACACGCCCTTCCCACCGAGCAAATGAGTATTCGCGATGCATATTCTCGAATGGCAGTTGTTGATTTCTTCAAGTATCACCACGGACGCGATGTTGTCCTTCTCCAGACGACTTTTGGCTGGGTCTCTTTGCTCAGAATTTAGCCTACTGATCATAGGTGCTGCCATTTTCTTATACTCAACCTCATAAGTTCTAACCAATTTGAACATGTCCCGGCGAAAAAAGGTCGCACATCCATCAACAATACACTCCTTACCTTTACATGTTTCTTCTCCCTTTCCCTTGTAAACTGATAAGTATCCAAATCTAGCTAGTTCAGGTTCAAAGAAAGCCTGGTAATGGTCACTCTGAACTTCTTGAAGACACAGAATATCAGCTTCATAAGAAAGTATCTCCTTTAACAAATTCTGGCTACGGTATTCCCAAGTGAGTTTCTCAGGAGGGCAGTAATCATAATTATTTCTACCGCTTCTAACATACATATCAGCTGATAAATTATAAGACAAAACTCTAAAACCACCATTTTTAACTACTGATTGGGGTTCACCTAATCTTTCCAACCCAGAAATTGTCGGTATGATACTTCGAGAGGAAGCGCGTAAGGAGGTTAAGGACCTAACCGGATTAGTGACAAGAATAAGGAGTGAGGACATTTTAACGCCGTTAGAATTAACGGCGAAACAAACTAACCTCAGACGGTGGCCGATGTCGTCCTTTGTCGGAACATAGTTACTCGAAGACCCCACCGCCCAGGATCCCACCGGAGCCGACGGAGGGATTCCGGTGAAGACTTTAACCTCCCTGGACCAGGTGAACACGACGGTATAATCCGGCGGGCTAAGATTGGTGCCGCTGTAATATACAACAACATAATTGGGTTTAACTCGACTCCGACCACCGGGAATTGATGAGTATTGTCGATAAACCCAATTTCTACATGCCAAGCTTCCTCCATCATTGTTCGATCAAAACTACTACTATACACCCAATTTCTACAGCTTTCTGTTTCTTCTTTCTTCTCCGCTTTTCTCAGCTCGATTTGATTTCAAATCCGGTCTGCTATCTATATATATATATATATATATATATATATATATCTCTATATGTTGTATTCAACTACCCCATCGGAAACCGTCTATGCTTCCTAGCACCATCGCACCGGAAAACAGTCTACACTCTACAAAGAGAAAGTTGAGCGGGATTTCTTAGAAAAAAAGGAGCAAAAGATAAGTAAGGTCAGGTATTGTTTCAATTAATTATCAAGAATTGAATTTGATTTGGCTGCTGACTCGAATTCTATGACTGATTAGTTAAAGCTCTATTAGGGGATAGAGCATGAATGTTTCAGATTGGTGGTAGCATCAGTGATATGGCGAGTGGGTTGACCGTGAGAGAGCATAAGCACGGCGGCTGAAAACGGTGAAACTAATGGTAAGTGTCCATTGCTTTAATACCTTGAGAATTGAGATTAAGTATTTGGACCAGAAAAATATACTAATAAACTATCAAGGTTAGTCATTTGTCTGTAACTTGATTGATCAAGTTGTGTTGACAATGTACTTGAAGTGTTTGACGTTTGGCCCAAAAGGTACTTCTTCTTCAGAATTAGTATAATTTGAGAGTTATTTTATACTCATAACTTGAAAACTTAGGAAAAGATGATTATCGTTACAATTGAGCTCTCAAAATGTGCTTAAAATGCTCCCTTTTTGTCCAAATGACTTCAATACAATAATATATACTTGAACAAATTCCTGCTTTCCCAATTGATTAAAAGAACATTTTAACTCTTATCACCTTTCAATCTTGAATTTATTGTGAATTTCTGAAATTTGCTAGATGTTGTGCAAATAGCGTCCATAGATACTCGGGTGTTATTCACCTATTTGTTTGTCCCTACTTTTATGGTATTTTCGTCAATACTTAATGCAAATTGAATTCTGACCTGACAATATGCATTAATCTAAGATGGTTCTTTCCCTTGAATGCAACAAGAGAAAATGGAATCATCTTAACTCATGTGCCATATATGTTGATCTAAGATGGTTCTTTCCCTTGAATGCAACAAGAGAAAATGGAATCATCTCGACTCATGTGCCATATATGTTGAAAAATTATGGTACACAGATTCGATAAGGATTGATCCTTTAATCTGTTTGATAAGTTATGGCTCAGCTGTATAGTGTAAACTTGATAATGATTAATCGTCTAATCTGTTTGATAAGTTACATTTTTCTTGCTAGAAAACAACAAGAAAGCTGTCGAAATGCAGGTTGTGTAAATCCAAGTGAGGTTTTGGCTTTAATGGGGTCTTCTGGAAGTGGGAAAACTACCCAGCTAGGTGGCAGATTGAGGGAATCTTCAATCACATACAATAACCGGCCATACTCCAAGTTCTTAAAAAACAGGTAAAACCACTTATTCAGAATTCTGAAATTTGAAGTTCGTTAAATCCAAACATCTTCAGAAACCTCAATCTCAGGTTTGATGAATGTGTTGTAGTATTGTTATTGGCACCTCACATTTGGCAGGATAGGGTTTGTAACTCAAGGTGATGTACTTTTTCCGCACCTTACGGTGAAAGAAACATTGACTTATGCTGCAAGATTGAGATTGCCGAGTACATTGACAAAACAGAAAAAGAGAAAAACGTGCCTCTGATGTCATATACGAGCTTGGATTAGAGAGGTATGTTTAATTTTTCATGAATCTTGCAACTCACTCGATTCAATCTTATGTAAATCTTGTTTTAGAAATAACAATGTCCTCAGTTTGTCATTTTCGCAGGTATCAAGACACCATGATTGAAGGCTCCTTTCTTTGGGAAGTTTCAGGTGGAGAGAGCAAGTGTATTCGTATAGATTGGTAGTGTAAATTCAGAAAGTGATGCTGCATCCTGCTTTGGCAACGGAAATACAGCAGCACTGCTGCTCCATTGAGCTTAGATCATTCCAGCATAAAGCAAGAATGTACAACATCTTAACAATAGATTTAAGCAAGATTATTTTGGGCAACGGTGATGAAGGAATTATAACCTCTTAGGAACTTCAACTTGAGAAAAGTTGAAAACCAACATGCAATATATGTTGATGTGAACAATAATTTCAGGTAGAAGGAAATATCATGTATATGTCAATGGTCAAAATTGGTTCTCTGATGATCTCTCATCCATATGTAATTTTCGAGTTTCTTAGATAATTGATTGTCTAGCTCTTGCATATTTGTATCATCATTTATCTATTATTATTATTTATTTTGATTCCATACAATTCTCGAGTCTTAAAAAAAAATCCGGGCTATCTAGCATTCACCTGGGCTGAACCTTGTGATGCAGCAGCAGCACCTAGTCTATATGTATGAAAGGGAGAGTTGGACCGGGACTGCTCCCGTTTAGGTACGTTAGCAGGTTAAAATTTCTATACGTGTCATTTCCTTACTGGAAGAGGTTTTGTTTGTCGGCCTTTCAGCTGCTCCTTCCAGTTTCCTCTTCTATCCATCTTTCTCTCTTCAGTCTTCACCCAACCCTTCGGTGCCAACGAACCAAGCCTCCGGCTAGAAACCTTGGAATTAAGCTCTCCCCGAATTCAAAATTGGGATTTAATCTCACTCAATTGTCATCTTTCCAATTCTCCACTCAATTACTCACCCTTCTTAATTTCTTTCTCCTCAATTTCGTCAACGGAGGGTTTAATATGAAAAAAAGCTTTGGTCTCGTCATAATTACCGGAGGACACTATAGAGCCAGAACCAATGGCCGGAAGGTGACGAGAATCGACGACCATGACAATTCTCACTACATGTGACAGCCTTGCCTGAACATGTTAAGCAATTGTTTTGGGCCTTTTGGCTCCTATGATGCCTGCGGTGGCGAAGATAAGTCGCATGACATCAAGATGCAACAGGGGTTCGAACAAATAAACAGCACAGTAAGCCCAATGCTCACTTTTCCTTCTAATAATATTCACACAATTCTCTGTGTTTTTCACTTCTCAATTCATTAAGAACAAAAAGATTTCAATTTATATGATTGTTTTGTTTTCTTTTGGTTAATTTTAATTCGGTTAAATTTTATTTGATCCAGATGAAATCTATTGTTTTTAGTGGGCCGATCCTAAATTGGTTTTCATAAAACTACTAATGAGTTGAGGGGCATGGTAGTTTAGGTTCTGTGTGAGCTACTATAATAGAAAGAATTTTGCCGATAAATTTTACTCTTGTGCACATATCTCACAGTGACATGCTTTGCTTGATGAGAGTTTTAAGTTTATCTTTTATTTTAATTTGGATACGAGACTAAGCAATTAGGAAAAAAGGGTTCTAAACTAGGCGAAGTTAAAATTGGTGAAAACTCCTATATGTTTGCATGCTATCTGTTTGATTATTTGTCTCTAAGAAAACTGATTTCTTCTTATTTTATACTGTATTGCTCTTTGTGCTATTAATTTTAACGGGAAATTTATTTTCGGCCATGGTTCTTTTTATTTCCCATCTTATCTAGAAAAATTTGCATACATAATAAACATGAATTTGTGCTTTAAATGGAACAATGAACCATTTCTATTAATGAGAAACGACACTAAAATGTATGCATTTGAATGTCGCGTTGCCATTACAAAGTCCTTCGGTAGGGTTTATATTTCTAAGAAGTATGATGGGTGCATTTTTTTTCAGAACTAATTTGTGAGGGGGAAGACCTTTTAGTGTTAATGAATGAAATACCTCTTCCTGGTCTGGTAATTTACAAAAATTTACACTTTCATCATAACTTAGATATATTGTAGATTCTCCTGAAAATTTATCAATTATCACATTATTAATTTCCTCTACAAATTCGTTTCTTGTGGTAAGTATAGCTCGTCTGACAAAAGATGTATTATTACAGTCACTACTAATATTTGGAAATACTGCTTCTATCAATGTGTTCAGTGATGTAACGTCATTTTCAAAAAAACATATTAATTTCTGATGAAATTTTAATCTCTCCTTTTTCATTCACTTTTTCAATCCCATTACCAATTCTTAGTAAATATTGTGAAAAAACAGGATCAAGTAATGCATGCATATTAAGCTGAAGTTTTAATTTTTCAAATTGATTCCATAAAGGTGACATAATGATAGATACATCAATCATATCATCTTTTGTGCCATGAAGAATGACAGGCAGTGTCTGTCGGAAATCACCACCAAAAGCAACAATTTTGCCGCCAAATATTTTGTTTGGATTGATTATATCTCTTAACATTTCATCAAAATTTTCTATTAAAGTCCGCTTTGCCATTGTAGCTTCGTCCCAAATGATTAATTTTGCTGCTTTGAATAAGTACGCTAATGTACTTTGTTTGCTGACATTACAAGATTTGGAATCACTTATATTTAGAGGTATGTTAAATCGTGAATGTGATGTACGGCCTCTTGGAAGTAAAGATGCTGCTACACTAGAAGTAGCGGTAGCAAGTGCAATTTGTTTATTAGATCTTATAGTCGCTAGAAGCGCTCTATATAAAAAAGTTTTTCCTGTACCACCAGGACCATCTACAAAAAACACATTATGTATATTGTTATTTACATACATAATACGGTCCTAGGCAAATTTTTGTTCTTTATTTAGTTGTTGAATAGCTGCAAGATCTTCTTCTGGCACTATAACATCCATTTCAGATTGCAATTCTTTTGCTAAGTTATCTCTAAAATTTGTTTGTGGATTATTAGGTAGGAAAGAATAATTTTCAGGTCTTTTAACCAGTTACGTATAAATAATAAGTTACAGTGTTTGCGGCTCTTTGCATTATCTCATCAGTAGTAAGAGATTTATCCTGAATGGTTTTCTGAGAGTATATCTTTATATTTTGACCACAAATCCTTGGGACTTTTAGGATTACAAAATTACTGGGTTATACTTGACCTTGGGCTGCACAACGTTCAGCACTCACTCCCTAGTAGAGAGAGAAAGAGCGAATTCGCGGTTTTAAGAAAGCTCTGGTATGTCTCCTAATCCAGATCGGAACAAAGTTCTTTTGGGTTAATTACCAGATTTTATTCCTTATTTCTTATTGTTATATCGGATGATTGACCGAAAAAAATTGTGATATCATTTATTTGTAATAATCAACTCTACAATAAAACTGCTTGTCCTTATTATTTTTCAGATTTTATTGCCACGCTGCATCCATTTCATTATTTTTCTTTCTAGTATTTTACACGCAATGGTTTTTTTTTCTAGTACAAATAAGGAGGCAAAGCCTGAAAACTAAGTCAATACAGAGCGTTGGTACATTTATTTAAACAAATTTAAATTGTACATTCAAATTATTTGTTTTTAATTCAAATTTAAACAAATTCTAATCAATAAAAAAGTAAAACAATCATTTATTTGTTTTTTTGTGAAAAAAATTGTAAAAATTCAAAAAAATTGTTTTTTAAAAGATAAAATTAATTTGAGTAAATTAAAATTTGAAGCATGTCTTAATTAAAAATCAACGCAAATACTTGAAACTTCTTTTATACTCTTCCATTATGATGCACAAATTTTTTTATCAGTTTTAAGTTATGCACAAAATTTTTATCAGCTTTAAGATAGTAAGATAATTACCATTAAGCCCTTTCACCAATCAAGAAGCATAAACAATAGACGGGTAAATTCCTTCGATGATAGCTTCAAAACGAGAGAAGTACAATACTGCCTCACCGCAGCATTTCATTTTTTAGCTAATAAGTTGTGAAAGGAATTTTAAACAAACAAACAAAAAAAGAAACATAAACATTACAAGGCATTTTCACGCTACCGTGCATCCTTCAAGCCTGAGGTGGCGGTGGCGGTGGCGGGGTGGCCGTCGTCACCTTGTTTAATAGACGCTGTAGCGAAGATATAACTTTCTGGGTTTCAGCACCGCAAGCTCCAATAACACAACCTGCGGCATCGACCCTAACTTTTCGCATGTTATCTTCCCGTGTCCAACACTGGAGATCAGTTGTTCCACATGCAGTAACACGTTTGATGCTCTCCTCCAGGCATGGAATGGAACACGGTGGTAGTAATGAAACCAGTGATAATCCTTGTGCTTCCGCTGAAGAAGGTACTACAAGTATGTTTGCTCCAAGACAAAGCAGCAGTAGTAGTAAAGCCAGTGGCAGACTGCTTTTGTTGGAACAACTTTTCTTCCAAGCCTTCTTCTTCATCAGGTCATAAGCTAAAGCCATTTCTTTCTTCTTTTTCTTTTTATTTCTTCTTTTTTTTCCCCTTCTCAAGAAATAATTTAAGAAAGGGGTATTCGATGGATGGATGAGATGGTACTGAAAAAACTCGAGGAACTATAATTTATAGGCTAATCGAGAACCCTACAGCCTATTATATCACCACAAATTTCAAAACTTAATGTAAACTATTTTTCTCGCACGGTGTAGTTTAATAATAAGAGTAATGTATAATTTGTCAGCGCGTATCTTCAAATTAAAAGTGAAACACAAGCATGTGCACTATATATATATATATATACTAGATACTTGCCCCGAGCGAATGCCCGGGGTGCCGCCTGTATTTTTAAATCGATTAAATAAAAAATAAGAATCATTCTTAAAAGAATAAAAAAAAATAAAAAAATAAAAAATCGATTGAAAGGACAGGAATTGAGTTATTACACATAAATATATGCCCAGATTTATAACATTTAATTTATAACAGTTAACTTATGCCTGAATTTTCATAAATCATGAACCAATATCTACAACAGAAGAATAAAAAAAAATCATCCTTAAAAAATTAAATTTCTTTCATGACAGCTTATTTTTCCTCTGTCATAGAAAGAGATAGATTGATAATTGATGTCAGATTTTAAGTAATTAATTTAAAGGCCCGGGTGTGAGAGAGGAGCGGAATGAAAGAGATTCTTTGAAATTGGGGATTGGGAAGATATTACTAATGTTTCATTTGATTTAAGAGAATTTCCTTACATTTGATTTTATCAACTAAATATTATTGTTTTAAGGGATTAGTATATACCTATAATTAAGAGATTTTTATATAGCTATAATTAAGGGATTTATGTATTTATCTATTCTATCTTTTTTTTCCGATTAGTTAGAGTCCCAAGTGTCAAAAATGATTTTGTACTGAAAATAGCTTTTGGCGGGAAAATTTTCATTGTGGTGCTGACACATGTCCTTTTTGTTTACTGGTTTAATTAAGTACTATAGATATATATATATATATAGCATATTAAAATAGTTTAATTTTTATTTTTAAAATTTTTTAAAATTTACTTTTCAACTTTCAAATTTGACGGATTTTTAACCGATCAATTTTTTTTTTCCAAAAACAAAATAATAATAATAATAATAAAATCATACTTAATTACTCTTTGGTTATCAGAATTAAAAAAGTTTGAAAATTCATGATCACAAATTTCCGTTAATAATAAATTTATCCTTTGAATACGTACGTATTGAATTTCCAGTTCACTCTACCTTTTTCTTATTAATTAAATCGATCAGCATTGTGATTTATTTGAGATATATTGAATTGTCAAGTGGACCAGAAATGTTGACAATCTGTACATACTGAAATAATACCAAATGCGGACTTCCAAAGAAACAAATTCAGGATCAACAATGTGACTTCCATCATCAAGGTGAGAATTGGTTCAAGCTCTGTCCATGAGTAACGGCTTGTTAAATCAAACCATGCGTTACCTTTCAATTTTACACTCGAATTTATCACTCAGCGACTTATTTAACATATTTTACCTCACACTGTAATTTTACAGAGATGAGTGTTTGTTTTATCCCTATACTAGTTGTACTATATTAGTAAAGTAGACAGAGAGAAAGCGTTGAGAAGGTCCATGAGCTAGCTTCAGTCCTTTTCAGCTCCCTATCTTCTTCAATCAATTAATAATAATTGCCATGTTGGTCAAAAAAAATAAAAATAAAATAAAAAAAATCATTGCCATGTTTTCAATCGAGGAAAAAAGAAATGCCTCTGCCTTAATAGTCGACGACTACTCCTTTTAATAATGATTGCCATGTTTTCAATCAAGGGAGTATCGTTTAATGACCTGTCGATGGACTGTGAATGGAAAAGTCAACTTGTAATTTCTTATCGATTCAAGGTACAATAAAACTTCCTTAAATTAATTCTCTATTAAACAATATTCTTTTCTGGTCTCAACAAGAAAAAATACAAAAAAGATTTGAATTAATAACTCTATAAATTAATAAATTTTTGGAGGCTTAAATATATTAGTTAATAGGGATTTTACTGTAGACTATTTTGTTAGGACAATACTATCATTTTCTCCTTTAAAAAAATAATCCATACTAAATTTTGTATTTTGTACTAGTATTTCTTAGTAAAATCTTAAAATTCAATGTCAATTGCTCCATTTTATTAGGACAGATGGTGTAAATGTAATAGTCAACTTTTTTTCCCGCCATCGCTGATGCAGTATTTTACTCCCTCTGTTCTAATAAGTGTTATTTTAGAGTTTGCGCATAGTTTAAGAAACACTTAAATAGAATAGTTAAATTACTAGAATATCCTCAATCAACCTCACTAAAAAAATGTTTACCCTTTTTTTGAAGGTATGTTTGGAAATTTTGACAAAAAACACATTAGAATATGAAAACGGCACTTATTTTGGATCGGAGGGAATATTTGTAATCTCAACAAATCAAATGAAGATTACGTCGGTGCATTTCATATATGTCCTTTTTTTTTTTAATTAATTCATCATCGCCAATGGGCTGATGCAGTATCCTACTTGTAAATCTCAACAAATCAAATGAAGATTACGTCGTTGCATTCTTTTATATATATATATATATATATATATATACAGTAATATTTTTTTAATTATTTTTTTTAATCAATTCACCATCGCCAATGGGCTGATGCAGTATCCTTCGTGTAAATCTCAACAAATCAAATGAAGATTTCGTGGGTGCACTTTTATTATGTTTATAACTTTCTAAACTCACTTGGAATTCTTTTGCAAGTTTTTATCAGACTATCATCAAATTAAAGAAAATGAAACAACATGGATATTCGTACATATTCGAAATCTCTGGAAATTTTGTGGTTTTGGAAGTAGGATTAAGTGGTAGCTCACTTTAGGAGAAAGGAATCCCAAGGGAGTAGTGTAAGAATCCCGCAATTTTGATGGTCTGATTGCTCATTTCATTATCACATTAACTAGCATCATGTACTAAATAATAAACCTTGAGTATGGGGAAAACATTTTTTGGCAGCTTTATCCCTGGTGAAATAGACTAAAGGGAAAGAAACATATGGACTTTGTTTAGGAATATGACGATAAAAAACTTAGGTACGGTGAGGGTAGGAAGTCACTATAAGAAATACTTAAATAATGTATATAAATTATTATAATATCCTTAACCAACCCTATATAATTAATGCTTGTGGATAATACTATTTCTTTTGAGGGTAAGTTTAGAAATTTTAGACAATAAAGTGTATTGAAATCAGAAAACGACACTTTTTGAAATTTCTTTATTTTGTTAAAAGAACACTTATTTATTTATTTTTTATTCATAGAAGGACACTTATTTTGGAATAGAGAGAATACTAATAAATAGGTTTATACGACACTGAGACAATAAGACACAATCGAAAAATGCTTTTTAGTCACGATAGATGTATAAGACATTAAGAGTGTGTTATTAAATCAACCTTTAATAATACACTTAATAAGTTTTAATGATACACTTAATAAGTGTATTGTAAATGTGCAGGAGACTTAAACAAAGAAGACACTTGAAAATGTCCTAATAATTACAATATTATTAGGACACTTTAAAGTGTCATAAAAAATACTATATTATTAGAACATTTTAAGTATTTCAATATATATAGAGCTATTGGAAAATTTTAGACTATCCTAATAAGTTTTCAACGATTATTTAAATTTAAAACAGGAGAAAATGTAATTATTTTTATAATTCCAAAATTCTTGACATAGAATCTGAAGGTATCAATTCAGAAACCAATTCACAAAACGGTTTTAGAAGCTACACTTACAGTACAATAAAAATATAATTACTTTGTCATATGATTACAATACTATGCAAAGTTTTCAAGCCTTCTTATAAACTCTCCATATTTTTACTATGCCAAGTTATCAAACCATCTTTATGGGAAAAAATCGCAACCATGGTAATCGACAATGATCCCACCTTCTTTCATTTGATATTCTAGTTCATCACATCCCTGCAAGAGAATCCCAGCATTTCCTTATCAAATCAGACAAAAGTCAATCATGACAATGTATTTACTAACCATTTGATAAAAATTAATTTGGTCTTAAATCTGAAATTTGAATAATGAATCATAAGTACTGAACAGATTAAATGTGTCTTGTTTGATAAAAATCAAAATCTAAAAACTAAATAAAATGTCTGAAATTTGAACACTGAATTTTAAAATATCTCGATTTATAATTTTATCTAAAAAAAAATAATTGATGTATATGAAACTCTGATAAGAAAAATAATAGTATTATTATAAAATCATGTAAAAAAAATATTTAAATTTTATTATATAGTTATTTCTCCGGTTAATAATAATATCATATTTTTATCATTATAAAAGAAAATCATATATTTATGGTAAATATCTATTTATCATGGACTTTAGTCGTATTTTAATTTTTTATATTAATATAAATATTTATTAAATAAAAATAAATTTTAATTTATAACTAAACACCAAGATTAATAACAATGTTTCAAGATAAAGCATCAAAACTATAAACATAAAAGTTAATGAATAGGGAAAAAAATAGTCTCAAGAATTCAGTCCAGACATAAATGATAGAGCTATCACTTATTTTTAGACTCACTTTTGTACTAGATTTTCAGACTCACTTAATTTATTAAAATATGCTACTTTGAGTTATTGAACGCACTTATGATTAGTTAAGTTTTTAATCGATTAAGTTGTTATAAGATTGTGTTATCAAACAGTGTTATTCAATTAAGTACTTAATCAATTAAGTTTAAGTACTGAATAGGTTTATCAAACAGACAAAATGATAATAACTGAGCATAACCCAATTGCCAATAGTTTCACTTAAGAGCATAGAATCAAAAATGCCAAATTCACCCAAGCAAAAATAAGACTCCAACTACCAAATGGGGGAGGGGGATAAGAGGAAGAAAGAAAATAACCATTCACATATGAAGCAGATTTTATGCTCTTTGAAGATGCACCGAAAAGAATTCAGTCAGTTTGAAATTAAGGGACAAGAATTTTTTTTGTTTGCTTGTTTGTTTGTGAACAGCTACAATCTTTCTGAGTACCAACTCAGCATAGCAAGACGTCGGAGAAGGCAAGGGAAAATTAACAAACATAACAAAGCACAGTATTGGAGTGATGTTTAATAAAGAGTTAGCGAATTAACCAGGTCTTCGTTGAGGACGTAACACTCTAAATTTTTCATCCAACACCCATCGTGCAAGTTCTTCTCCTTCACGGATGAAGCAAATGACTTGAGTAAAACCGTCAAAACAAAACTTAAAAACCTTGAAATAATGGATGGAATCGTAGAAACTCTTCCTACCAATGCCCCTTTCTCCTCCAAACCAATAAACCACCACCACACACCTTCATGGAACCCAATATGAATGAACGCAGCTACTGTTTCTGCTTCTTGATTGATAGAATCATAGAAAGGGAAAAAAGACCTGATTAATAACGTTGAAGCACGTATTTTCCACATTATAATCTATATAGTCGACCATGCACAGTAAACAAAAAACACCAGATATCTTTTGTCACATCGCATCCATTGTTCCATTTCATTGTTTTCTTTTTCTTTTTTTTTTTAGGGGTAAAATTGACAACGTTGTGAAAAAAAAAAGAAAAAAATATCATTTGTGGCATTTTCGATTGATGTTTTTAAGCTAGTGAGTACTGCTTTTTAGTAAAGTAAACAAGTGTTTGCCCTCAAAATCATACTGCAGAGAAAGAGAAAAAAAACTTCAATCAATGTTCTATCTCAGCTCTTTAATGTAATGCTGTTCGTCAGGAGGCCCTTTAGCACCATCCAGAACTAATTACAAACCCACCGAAAAGAACTAATCACAACACCCATCATTTGTTTAACCAATCACACAATTTCCATTCAGAAGTAGTTGCTTTGAAGGACCCTTACAGATGCTGGTTTGAAGTGAAATCACAGTGCAAAACCTTATATCATCCAAGCCACACTATATATGTTCTCTATTAGCAGAAGTTTCAAAAACCAAGATATATCATGGAGTGTTTGCAAAGAACTTACAAGTTTGCAACCACCACACAACTGCACACGGCAAATGTGTACAGGTATCAAAATTTGAAGACTTCTACAGTTAGAGGACATCTTGCATCTTTGTTTCGCGACATCATTCATGTGATTACATGCATCACAACAGGATGAGGCGTGAAAACCCTTCTCAAGGCTTATGTTCTGCAGAGATTGACGCTCGAACCGCATGTTCCTGGGACAAGGCTTTTCCATTGACAACTAGTTGTTGTAGGAAGTCTACACGCACTGATTTGAAGTGGTAGCTCTGGACGAGAAAGACATAAGAGACAAAAAATTTCACCACCCAGTAAAATCACCATATATGC